ATGAAACAGTATGACGGGGAAGCTTGGGGTACTTGGAAAACCAAGGCTTCCGTCGGATGCCGGGCTGGACAGCTGCATAGTAGGCTCCTTTATGTTGTGACGTTTCTACCCACACTGCATTCCATGAGTCAAACAGCTTGTGCTTTGTGTCTGCACGCATATCATATCCGTACACAACGTGGTGCTGACGATCGACATCGTTCGAGGCCGCAAATTTGGCCAATGAATCCGCACACTCGTTACCACATATGCCAGAGTGGCCAGGAATCCAAGCGATCTCGATGTTTATGCCATCCTTGTAACAAGAGAAAAGAAGCGCCTTTATCTCTACAACCAAACTGCTATGAGTTCGGGAATGGAGCTGGTCTTGGTTGAGAGACTGTAGGCTACTTCGGGAGTCTGAAAAAATAACAGAGTTTTTTAGGTTGTGTGCTCTAATAAACTTTACTGATTCTAAAATGCCAACGCATTCTCCCGTGTAGACAGATGCTTCCGGTGGACACTTAGAGAGGAGGGCGATCTTCGAATTTTGGAAGTACGCTGCCACTCCTGTACTTCCGTTTCGAGATAGTTTAGACGCATCTGTGTAAAAAATATTCCAGCCTCTCCAGTATTTGCTCAAGGCGCGTCCGAACTCGCCCGTAGCATCCACGGAGGATTTCGAGATGCGAGCCCCAGAATCAGCTTTGGCCTGAAGTGGATAGCCTCATATGCGGAAGAGAAGACCGGGAGTACAGGATATTGCCTGATGGGTGCAGAGAGGTTTTTAAGCTCCCTGTACCTGACAATCACGGGAGGGACAGGTTTATTGTTCCAGTAGGAAGAGGAGCTATAGGAACAGTGGATTTATTCTAGGATAGGAAGAAGGGGATGTGATGAGAGGGAGAGGACTTTTGAGATGAATCGGTCTGCAAGGTATTGTCTTCGAAGGTTGAGGGGAGGCTCTACACATTCAACCTGAAGAGCATTTATGGGGGATGATTTCATAGCTCCGATAATTATTCTAAGGCATTTGGCCTGAATGGAGTCTAGTTTTTTTAATGCACCCTTATTGCAAGGAACAATAAGGAAGCAACAATAGTCCATTACGCTTCTGACCAATGCATTGTAGATGAGCTTCAATGAGTAGGGGTGAGCACCCCACCATACCCCGGCCAGAGCTCTGAGTATCGATACCGAGCGTTCACACCTTGCAACCACGGTGTTTATGTGATCCGCCCCAGACATCCTTGCATCGAGATAAACCCCCAAGAATCTAGCACTGCTTTTGATCGGGATATCCTGACCGTCTATCTCTATACGAAGATCCGGAGTGCGTCGTTTGCGTGTAAAAATGACAGCTGAGCTTTTTGGGGCGCTTAAAGATAACCCGTGATTAAGAAGCCATTGGTTTAATGAGGCCAAAGAGACATTGATGGAGTGGGCGGCGTCTGTTATAGAGCTATTGGTAACCATTAGTGCGATATCGTCAGCATACTGAAGGACATTACAGTTGAAATTTAAACAGGAGGGGAGGTCATAGGTATAAATATTTTAAAGGATGGGACTAAGGACTGACCCCTGAGGTAAACCTTTCCAGGAGGACCTCCGTACTGGGTTATCCTCAGGAGATCTTAATTGGAGGGTACGATCGGAAAGGATGCAGGCTATAATTCGGCAGATCCTACGCGGGATTCTCAGCTCTTACAGTTTCTGCCTGAGAAGGGGTAAGAGAACAGAATCATAGGCCGCTGAGATGTTCAAGAAGACCGCGACCAACGACTCCTGCCTGCTAAGGGCCAGTCGGATGGCTGACGTGAGGGTACACACTGTCAGCCGTACCCAAACCTTTCCTGAAGCCGAACTGAGTCGCCGGAAGCAGCCTCTGGCTTTCTACCAACCACTCAAGGCGGTTTTTGATAAGATGTTCAAAAGTTTTAATAAGAATGGACGATAGGGCAATAGGTCTGTACGACGAATGGTCACCAGGATCCTTGCCAGCTTTTAACAGCGGCATAATAACCTGAACCTTCCAGGTAGGAGGAATATAGCCTGAAATAAAGCAAAAATTGACTAAGTCAAGGTAGTACTGCTTCGCTTTAGTTCCTGCCTTAGTTAGGAAGGAGTAGGGGAACCCATCAATCCCTGGTGCCGAGTCCTTCACATGGTTGAGTACCGTTTGGAGCTCTTCAGATGAGAACTCCAAATCGAGCGGGTCATGAGACTCGGGTCGCTCGGTCTCATGGGATCTCAGGCAGCATTCATCTGCGGTGGGAACATAAGTTGGAGCAATATTGCTAAAAAAACTGTTAACCAGAGATTCGGGTAAGGTGGAGACAGTGGGAGGTTTGGTGGAGTTTCTAAAATTTTTGACTCTCTGCCAAACTGTGGATATTGTTGTCGATGGGCTCAGGGAACCACAAAATCTCCGCCACCCTTGTCTCTTTTTTTTCCTGAACAATTTCCTTGACTTAGCCAAAATTCGCTTGAAATTTATGAGGTTTTCCATGTTCATATCTTGGTTATATGTTTTTTCAGCCTCATTCCTAGCCCTTATCATGGCAGTGCATTCACTATCCCACCATGGAGGAGAAGGTATTTTGCCTTTCGGTGCGTTTTTCACCGGAAAGCAATCTTCGGCTGTGGAGGCTATCAGGTCTGAAAATTTGGAGAAACACTCCAAAGAATTTTCGTTGTTGAATCGAAGGAAAGAAGTGCGGTGGTCTAATAATTTTGAGTAAAGATCCCAGTCTGCAGAATCTAAACGATATTTTAATAAGGGGGGAAGGGGTTTATCCGGAATGGATTTTGACGAGTGTTTAATTATGATGGGATAGTGGTCACTACCATAGGTCAAATTTAAACAACTCCAATTTAGCACGCTAGCCATATCAGGCGAGCAGAAGGTCAAGTCCACACAGCTGTTTCTTTGACCAAAAGCAGACCTACGAGTAGGGCTGCCATCATTAATGACACACAACTCGAGTTCATCCAGCATCTCAACTAGCTCATTACCCATATTATCACATACATCTGAACCCCATCTATAGTGGTGGCAGTTGAAGTCACCCATTACAAGTAATGGGCCACTTACCGAGGTTAATAAATTTTTAATCAAAATAAGCTGGTCAACATGAGGGTGAGCAATGTAAAATACAAATATGTTTATGTCCTCAGCCTTAACAGCGACATTTATGTCATCGCCAACGAAGGGTAGAGGAATCTGGGAGAAGGGTACTTTGTTATTAACTAACAAAGCACAACCTCCATAACCATCAGATCTGTCATGTCTGACAACACTGAAACACGGGATCCCGAAATTTATATTCGGTCGAAGCCATGTCTCAGCAATGCCACAAATCAATGGTTTAAATTTATTGATCAAGTGGAGTAAGTCACTCTTCCTGGGAAGAGTACTCCTCACGTTCCACTGAAGCAGTGTTAGAGGCAGGAATTTTGCAAATATAATCAAGAATTGTTGAAAGCTTGTGTGCTACGTGGTCAGGTACGGTATGGGCAGGGTTTGATAGTACTGCCATGAGCATATCAGAAACTATGTTCAAAATGTTTTCGGAGCTACGAGTGTTGGTTCCGGATTCCACAGGGAAAGCGCAACCACTTTTAGATGGGGAGAACGAGTAGTTATGTATAAGGGCCTGATGAGCCTTCTTATCATAACTAGGAGAGAGGGGAGCATGTGATTTGGGTTTGAGTTGGACAGTTTTTTTGTAGGAGACTCTTTGTTGGGATGATTTTTTAATAGGTGATGGATCTATGAGGTTGACTGATCTTGAGACCTCAGCATATGACCTTTTTACAATAGGGAAAACTTGGCTTGCTTCCGCATATGAAATAGATTTTTCTGCCATCAAAGCTTTGATGCTCTTCTGGCGACCTAATTCAGGACAAGCTTTGTCATTTGCAAAGTGGTTGCCATTGCAATTTATACATGTGGCAATCTCAGCTGAAATCTGGCATCCATCACCTGGATGGTCCTGGCCACATCTGAAACAACGTGGCTTGGAGCGGCAAAGAGTGCGGGTATGTCTGAAACGACAACAGTGATAGCACTGTATAGTCGGATATGAATATAGTTCTACCGGGAGTGCTGAGTAGAAACAAAACACTTTTTTGGGCAATGTTTGACCGTCAAAAGTAAGCACTACGGTTTGGGTAGGCTTCCATTCGGTACCATTTGGGGTTGAGACTCTGCGATTCATCCTCCTAGCTTTTATCACAGCCCCACACCCGGTGGGAACCCTGATGTTGCCAATGATCTCGTACTCTGTCCATTCCACAGGGACGTCCCTGACAATGCCCATTCGGGTAATGTTGAATTGTGGGATCGAAGTTGTGTAGTTTTGAGCTACCATACCATTGACTAAAAAACTGTAAGCATCCTGGTGCGTCACAAACTCAACCGAAACTCTATTCCTCCCCAGCCGTTTGACACCACCGATCTTAACATTATTAATGTTTAGTTTCATTAGGAACATACCAAACTTAACTGGGTGAAGCGTGGCGCCAGACGTCTGGGAGTCCTTAAGAGACACATAAACTATGTAAGGGGGATTGTCCCTGGCCGTGTAACATTGCCTACCATTTACACTTTTCGCCAATTTCGGGGGGTTGTTTTGGGTGATAAGGGGGGAGCCTGCGGGTCGTTTCCGGGATTTTGAAACTTCCGCGTCCATTATTTCGATATCCGGGGTGTTCGGAGGAAAGGTAATTGTGACGATAGTTTCCGTCTCATATTCCGGGGATTTATCGGGATCAGGAGGATCGGGTGGCTTCACCTCGTCCATTTTGGATTAAAAAGATGCGGATGGGCAGAGGAAAAAATAGATTAAAATATATTTACACCAATTGAAACTACACACATACACTTATAACTTTACACACACATACACTTAACCAACACAAAAACACTTCAATTCAGATCACTATGAAATAGATCACTTAAATTGAAAATAAACGTAGGAATGACAAAAGCACGTGCGTAACCTTCACCACTACCAACGAAACCCGAAATTACCTATATTTATTTACTATTTAATAAATTGCACGTCAATAGCTTAAAGTCTTACGACCATTTCACTTAAATCAGGAACATTGTGTATCACAGCTGTGTGTATGTGTGTGTGTGTGTGTGTGTGTGCTGGTGGTCCGCACTAGCACAGACTGGAGCGGCGGCAGCGTGTGCAGGCGCGGGAGCGCAGCGTCGCCTTGAGCGCCGCCAGCTGCTGCTTCAGGTACGACACCTCCACCGACAGTTCTACCTCGCGCAGCTTCCGCCGGTCGCGGCTCTTCTTCGCCGCCGCGTTGTTCTTCTCGCGCGTGCGTCGGTAGGCGTCGTCTTCCGCCGCGGTGCCGGCGTGCGCTTGCGACCGCACAGCGCGACGCATGTTCGGATTGCTTCCGACTAAAGTGCCACCTTGGTGATCTTTTATGGCAGCCATGGCAGCCTCAACGTAACGGTGATAGTCTGGATCCAGCTCTGCCGATATCTCCGGTGCAGGGCTGGTGGCGGGTGGGCCAGGCGGGGGTGACGATGACCGCGTACTTAACGAATGGTAGCCTGAACTACCACCTGAGGAAACTTGAACATCTCCATGGCGTAGAGGCAGCGGCAGGTACCCTGGCCCTGTCGGGTATACCGGGTACGTCGACAGCGTCAGGTGTGCCGCCGACAGAGGCATTACTACAGATTGTGGCACGCGTGACACACTAGGTGGCGGAAGGCGTGACCACCTTTGCCTTGCAGTGGGACGATCATGGCTGAAAATAATAAATTAATAAAAAATATTGTTATTAGTACTATTATATTAAGATTAAATATCCCTATTACATAAGAGCGAAGTAATAATAAGTTAATTTTAGCCGAGTAATGTTTTGGCTTACGCTGTGCGTGTAATTATGAATAAATAAATAATAATCCAGCCGGGGCTGCAGAGAAGCAGCGTGAAGCGAGTAGATACCTACAGCCTAAAGGTCATAGTAAAGTCCGGCACGCCTCTAACCCGTAATCGTATGTCGTATGACATAATTTCATAAAGGTAGGTACAGATTGGTGCAATCAAACATGTAATGCAACATGCAATGCAAGAATTTGAGGTCCACATTGCTGCAATGTAACATGTAAAGTAACAGGATTCCCAGTGTGGACGCCTCGCGCACACGAACTGCGCCTGGGTCGCGCACGCTCCGAGCGATACAACTCATGCGCGGCTCGATCCGAGATTTGTCGGTTTTTAGTATGAACACAAAGGGGTGCGCAGTGTGCGCAGGACTCAGCCGTGGACGGTTGTTCGTTTCGTTCGCATGCGCAACGATCATGGCGGTGCAAGAGGGTGCGTGGAGTGATGACGAGTCACTGTCATGATTAACAATAAAGCACTGATAATCGTCAGAGCTAGAAGGCTGTCTTCAGACTCCATAATTCGTGTATATCGACTTAAGTAGTGATGTGGGCAAAGAAAAGAACACTTGTGACGAGGGCTAGTGTTTGTAACGAAATGCGGGAACAGATGTTCTTGAACGATTTGTAGTCAATGCGCGTACCGCGCGCGCCACACGTCCAAGGCAGCAGGGAACATGCAATGTAAGGCAGAATATTACATTACATGTTGCATTGCACCAATCTGTACCCACCATAACATCAATATAAAAAAGCTGTAAGCGCGCCGCTAGCGCGCCGACAGCGCTTTTACAGCTTTTTGTATTGTTTCTTAAGCAATAAACGCCGCGCCGGAGCCGCGCTTGTTGAGTGTGTTATGATCTTATGAGTTACTGAACCCTGCTTGATCTTCAAATAAAATTTGTCCTGAAAGATAGGAAGTAGGATGATTATTTATAATATGCTAAGGCCATTAGACACGACCAAATTTAATATAATAATTTGACCAAGGTAAATTAAATTACAGTGGAACCCCGGTAGTTCGACAAATATTTTGCAGGGCAGTGTCGAACTATCGAATTTGTCGGATTATAGAGTAGGTACCTACTGCCTAGGACTGCCTATAGTCCGAATTTTTTTACAAAGGATTACCTTGTAATCGGCAAATTACAAATCCAATGATAACATTTCAGATCATACTTCGTTGTGTATGTTAAATTTAGTAAATTAAACAAGACAAGTGTACAAATAAATCTGCACATGTACTAAAATAATCAAACTTTATGAATCAATTTAAAACTAAGCAATCAGAATCAAAACAATACCCTATACGTCGAGCACAATAGTGATAGTACGTGTAAGTTTTTACTTGTTCAATCGTGAATTAACGAATACATGTATGTAATAAACGATGTCGGATTATAGGGGGAGCCGGATTAGCCAGGAGCTGGACTACCGGGGATCCACTGTAATGTAATAATTCAGTTATATTCTGTAATGTAAGGTACTTGACATATTTTTATTGTAAAGATTTAACTGATGCAACATAAATTTTGTAATATTTTGAGACTAGTAGAATAATCCAAATATCATAAACTATTGTACACCTTATAGGTATGTTACTATGCTACTATCATTATAATATATGTAACATCTATTGACAACATGTAACAAACAAATGAATTTGAATATAATAAATTACTTACCAACTAATAACATTTTGGCATCAGTGTTGTTTTTTTTTAGTTTCGATTTCAAATTTCTATAATAACTTATAAGGTTCTCCACTCCTCGGGGTTGGTCCGTTGTATTAGCATTAAAAACTTCTGCTACTTGCGTCCATGCATCCTGCTTGTTTAACCGCATCGGTCTGCTTTGCTTCAATAATTTTAGCGTACGGTTTCACAGCTTCCAACAGCAATATTTGTTCTTCATTGTTAAAATTTGGGCCACGAGTTCTACTTGATTTCGACATTTTAAAAGAGCACACGAGCACGAGTACGAGTGATTACCGCAAAAAATAAAAACAATGATAGACAATCTGTCACAAACACCACGGTGACGTTGACTTTGACAGACTGCTGACGTTAAATAGTTCCTTTCTACGTAAATGTATAAAAATCTTTTGTTGCTACAAGTTTCATAAAAAAAACAGAGTGCGTAAAACGAAACACTGGAAGTAATTTTACTCGCTTGCATATCACGTTTAGCTAAATAGCATTTGAAATTCTTTCATGCAAGACAATCTTAAATGCGTTTAGGATAAACATATTTATGGAGTTAAATGTAGTTAACTAGCTAACACTTGGGCCATGGGGTCCCTGTGCACACTTTGTTTTTAAAGATATCGCCCGTAGGCTAATCGATTCTACATGATGTGACCAGAGGGCTGGCTATTTCTTCGGCAGAAAATAAGCATTGCCATTCAACGTGGCAATGCTGCCAGTCTCCTGGGGACGTTCCCCTGTGATAGTGATGCGGACGAATACTAAATTGAGGGTATAATTTTAGTTGTTTTCTTTTTTTTTCATTTTATTTAATAGTTTAGTTGTAGTTAATTTTAAGTTGTAAATATTTATGTAGTTATAAACAATGTAATATATTTTCGCAATAATACAATCTAATGCGACCAAAAAAAAAATATTTAAGGCCATTTTAACACAATATTATGAAAGCCACCCTGACTTGCATAAGAAGCATAATACATTTAAGCACTCCTTACTTAAACAAAATTACTAAACTAAAATCATTTAGATTAGATTTAGATTTACGCACAAAAATTAAGTTACTAAACGTAATTAGCCATGTGTCAAAATTAATTAAATTAAACGGGCCACGTTCACGTTGGCTATTTATCTATCGCGCGGTCGCGCCTAAACGTATTTAGCGGACGCCTTTGGTTGTACAGCTGTTTGATTTCAAAACTTATCATTGTTTTGTGTGTAGTGATTCCGTTAAAACCGTTCGTTGATTTATTTGATTTTTCTGATGATGATGAGGAATTATTCATGTACCTACTTACATCGGCCTACCGCACCTTTTCCCGAGATCAGCATTATTTGAAAGTCTTTCAGAATCGAAATTCGTGAGACTTTTTCGTTTATCAAAAGCAACTACGATGATATTGCTACAGCAAATAGAGTCTCATCTACAGAATAAGACGGAAAGGTAATTATATAATAGTATGTAATTTATCCCCGTCTTGTGTGTTTTTTACAAATGATGTCATAGTTACTTATTATACATGTTTTTATTTGTTTCAGAGTAACTGCTATATCCCCAATAAACCAACTGTTGTGCACTTTGCGCTTCTTTGCCACAGGTAGCCAATTAATTACATGTGGTGATATGATAGGAGTACATGAGTCAACTGCTTGTAGAATTGTGCATCGTGTAACTCATGTCATTGCGAGTTTAAGACACATCTACATACAAGAACTAAGTAATATAATAGCAGGATTTTACAACATTGCAAAATTTCCAAGAGTAATTGGTGCTATAGATTGTACACATGTGCATATTGTGTCCCCAGGAGAGTAGAATGCTGAAATTTATCGAAACCGTAGAGGATAATGTTCAATAAATACACAATGTGTTGCTGCAGCAAATTTAATATTTTAAATATTGTTGCAAGATGGCATGGGTCGGCACATGATTCGAACATATGAGACAATTGTGCAATTAAGAGATTTTGGACAAGGAAAATATCCAAATGAATATTTATTGGGTGACAGTAGATATGCCCAGACTACATAAATAAAAATGACCCCACTGCCAGATGGAAGTCCTAATACTAGAAATACTGTATCAAGGATCACAATAAAAACTAGAAATGTTGTAGAAACAGCCTTTGGGGTTTGGGAAAAGAGGTTTCCCATTTTATCTCTGGGAATTACTATAAATTTGCATAGGGTGCCAGGCATAACTGTGGCTACTGCTGTTGGTGGTAGTAATTCAACACTAAATAAAATTATGTTGACAGTTGGTTGTGTCGTCTCTGTGATTGTGACGGATGATTAATAACATAACACTGTCTGACACTTGACATAATAATATGATGTTTCATTAAAGTTAATGTTGCCTGCATGGTGGTTCTGGTTTTGGTTTTGTTCATGTTGTCTCGTGAGTTTTGCTAACATTGTTAAAATGGAAGGCATAGTTTCGATTTGTGTTTTTTTCTTTCTATTGAGTTTTGTTGTCATTGATGCACTTTCATTGTCTTTTTTTTAATTGTGTTTTTGTATGTCCCTAAATTGTAAATGTTGATGGCGAATGGCTAGCAGGTGGTGCAGAGTTTGTCCTGAGTACTCATTCTTTTATTATACTATATATTTACGATCTTCTTAATATATTATATATTAAAAGTATATTTATTATTATTTAAATATTTATTTTATTATTGTTTTTATTTGCCAATGTCCAGTGATGATTCTTTTGTGTCAGCCAACTCATTCTCTGACAATGATAGTTTTTGCAAAGACGTTTTACGGATAGCAATAATCATGTGCTAAATGTCTGTCACATAATAATGCTCAAAGAATTCCTAGCCACCACAACAAACTTAATGCATTCAACAACAGCAAAATTCACGCCATCCTGATATCTGAAACCTGGCTCAAACCACAATTACTGTCAACAACCTACAGGGGGTAGGTTAGGTTATATTCTTATACGGAAAGAATACTGTTAAAAGAGGGGGTGGGGTAGGTATATATCTCCATAGTGAGTTTTCGTCCAAGGTGCTCTTCTCCCAATTGTCCTGCGGAGTATCTTTTTCTTGAAGTTGAGTTGTATTAGGTGTTGTCTGCCTGTACTGTCCTCCTACCTACTAATGATTATTTCACTGACTTCGAATCAGTTCTTGAATCATTGGATTCCAAATACACTCACCACATAATCATGGGCGATTTTAACACCAACCTTTTGTCCCACGCCTCTCCTCGTTCCTGCAAATTCTTACATATAATCGAGTCAGCGAGCTTGCAGCTGTTACCGCTTAACTCCACTCACCACACTACAGTCGGCGAAGACGCGAAGACTCCTGGCTCGATCTTATCCTCATTTCATTTCATTTCATTTATTTATTCATTTAACAATTTACATTGTGTCTGAATTTAATATAGGTACAAAAAAAGAGATAAGCAAATTCACATTACGAAAACATAAACACACACACAAAAATAAAACAATAGAATTTCATTAATTTAGGCTTCTAAGCAAGGCGGTTTATAAGTTCAAGAATCTAATCAATACAATCAATATACAGTTTCAGAAATTCAGAATAATGTCAAAGATTAGTCAAAATATAATGCACATATTGTCACACATATTGTTAGAACATTACATGATATAAAACCAAAACCTAAACAAGAAACCAATGTCACACAGTTTCAAAATAATGTCAAAGGCTACATTGAGGGTCAAATTGTCACAGAGACATCAACACAGTTTTTTTTTTAATAATTCTGTGGTGCTAATTCTGTCAAATTGTACAGGCATTTTTCCAATAAGAAAGACTTTAATTTTGCCTTAAACAAGTGGGTATTGTAAACACAGGTCTTTAGATCAGAAGGCAACTTATTAAATATGTCTACAGCTTGGTATTTTGAACAATGTTCCACTATATTCAATTTAGGGGCAACTGGTTGCTTAAACATTTCCAATCCCTCTCTCGTTTCTTGTAATGGACAACACGACGCCCCGGGTTTCCCTCACCATGACATAATTTTCTTGTCCTATATCGTAAAACCGCCTAAGGTGAGATCCAAGGTACTGTACCAGATATTTTTCAGGAACCTTTCCATCTCTCTGGCGCAGGGCCTTTGTTCGACCTCTTCCTAAAATCTCTAATCCCTCTCTTCCCACTTATTTCCGCCCCATCTCCATACTTCCTTTCCTTTCCAAAGGGCTTGAGGCCTGTGTCCACAAACAACTGACTTTATTTACAAAAATTCGCTCGTAAGTCCGCGTGCTCTGTATCGCGTAAAATATTTGCTTTCTCCCGTTACGAAGGCCATTTTGCTGCAAGCCTTGGTTTTCCCTATCATCGATTATGCTGATATCTGCATTCGATTCGTTTTCAACCTGCGTAAATACAATCATGTTTCTGCACATCGGTTGCAACTATAGTGGCTGCCCATACGCCAGCGCAATGAGCAAAGGGCGCTAACCACTCTATTGTCATTTCTTTCTTCACCTTCTTCACCCAATTATCTATCCCCTTACTTTCAATACTTATGCGCAAACCACAATAAAAATCTTCGTTCTTCTCACAACTGTCTTCTCCAATGTCCCACTCATCGCACTAACTTTTTACATTCATCCTTTTTCGTACAGGCAATTTTCCTGTGGAATGCGCTCCCCTTGGATGGCAAGATGGTCTCAACTCGACTATCTTTTAAGCACAAAGTACGTAAGCTTTTTTAAAGCGGTTGGCTGAATCGTCGCGCTAACTATCCACTGTGTACTAGTAAGCAAGTATATATTTATATATTATGTATGTATGTAGGCATATTGTATTTATGTGTAGGTATAAATTATAATTATATTTATTTATGTATGTATAAATCTGAAAGTGTGTTTGTTTGTTTGTTACGCTTTCACGCCGTAACTACTATAGCGATTGCTTTGTAATTTGCAAACGTAAAATTACAAGTCCAGATTAAATCATAGGATACTTTTTATTCCGGAATAATGTGATATTCCCGAGGGAAAACAAAATATTAGTATAGATGGCGCTGTGTGTATTCGTATAGATGGCGCTGTATGCCGTTTAAAACAATTTAACGAATTACCTACAAATTGGAAATTTCACATTAGTATCCTGTAAGTATTAAACAAGTTATGATATTGAGTTCTTCACGAGCACGGCCTTGATGCGCGCAGTGTTATTTGGCCACTGGATTGGATATTTGAACTGAATGTTATGTCAATAATTAGTTGTTTAGTTTAGTTATATATCAGTAAAATTTCAGCTCAGTACATTGGATAATTAATGAGATAATACGATTAATACTTTAACTGCCAAGTTTAAAATGGTGAAAGTCAAACCTCAACTAGCGTCAGGCACCGGTGACTGACGTGGCGCTCAAAGGGTTAAAGTAATTATGAAGAGAATGACCGTGGTAACCCGACCAAGTTTAGGTGGTTACGAAAAATCTATCGCCAAATAGCGTATACTGGCAATAGATGGCGCTTAGTGTTTTTTAAAAAACGGGGTAGCGTTGTGTTCAAGTATTTTTCGCTTTTAAATTTTGGTTCTAACCATTTTACATTAAATAGCGTATTTTATAGATTTTAGGTTGTTATAGGTCCACGAAATCATAGTGGCAACAATAATCAATAATTAACAAATATACCTCTATTGTACGCTGTTGTTTCAACGCTCGATAGACGGCGTTAGGGTCGAGTTAGATGGCGCTATGGTTCATTACCGGCGAAAGTATAGGTTCCGAGCTACCGAAACAAATATATATTTCGGTGTACGCAAGTACTAATATTAATCTATGGGTGTACGTATCTAGCACTATTATTGATTTTTATTCGTTCGCTCTTTAGGTTTGATTAGTCAAGTGTTATTTTTTCTAGGTAGATATTATTATTTTTTATTTTATTTATTTAAAAAGCTTTATGCACACAAACAAGCACATGGGTGGACTTAATGTCGCAGGCATTTTCTACCAGTCTGACTTTTGGGTGATGCAGAGAAGAGTAAATGGTAGGTGCAAGAGGCAAGCAATGCCTGAGGCATTAAGTCCGCCTATTTGTACATTTTGTGCATGAAGCATATTAAATAAAATATTTTTAGTTAACTGGAATTCGTATTTTTTACATAATACATAACATCACGCCTTTTGTCCCCGAAGGGGTAGGCAGACGTGCACACAGAAGTAACACCCACTTTTCACTATTTATGTTATTAGTCCCATGTAGTAGGGGGTGAGCCTATTGCCATATACCGGGCACAATTCCAGACTCCGTGCTACTACTGAGATTCTTTTAAAAACCCAGTAATACTTTGCCCGACCCGGGAATCGAACCCGAGACCCCTTGCCCGGCAGTCGCACTTGCGACCACTCGGCCAACGAGGCAGTTCGTATTTTTTCATATATTTAAATACTAATTACACATAACTGAATATTAATATTAGTCCTTTTCATTTCAGTCCTTCTTTAATATATCTGTGTTTCAGTCCGTCAAGGCCAAATTTACATGATAGTTTGCTGGTCTCCTAGGTAATGTTAACCCGATGTGTGAAAAACTACCAAAAAACTCCTTATATTTTTAGTATTGGTTACGCTGTGGAGCTGATGGACGATAGAGCCAAGGGATGTATGAGTTTTATAGAGGACATTAATATCAACACAAAAGTTCATATATCATAATTTAACTATATTATTTCATAGAAATATTTGCAATACTAACGTCGCACCGGTACAAATCAGGTCACATTATTAGTACCGGAGTAATATTCAAGAGGGATCAATTTCCTGGCGGAAATCCCAGGACAACGGGAACTATGCGTTAAAATGACGGGACTAAGAACGATGAGAAAAGGGGACTCTTTTTAAACCATTGAACCTACATTTCTGGACACATCTATTGGTCCACCTTGTATTTTCAGTTTCGTTTGGTCCGAGCTAAAATTTTATATTAGGTCGAGCAAAAAGTTTTTATGCCATTTCGAAACATTCACAATTTCATTCAATAGACTTTTTTTATTTTCGAACACAGAATTTAAAGAAACAAAAGACAATTTGGAGCTTGTTGATATTAAACAATCGAATGCTAAGAAAACTTGGTTTTATTGGTTTACTTGGATTTAATTCTTGAAAAAGTGATTGATATCTTTGGTTTTGCAACAAACATTCTTAAGATTAAGATGAGGTTCTATCATTAATCTATGGATACTTCACCTGAAGTCGCCGCTCAAGCTGGGGAACAGTATTTCTGTGTGTGGCCATATGCTTGACACCTTTTGCATTGTGGAATTAATTTTGAAGTTTTTAAAGGCTGTATATCTACTTTGCAGCCCAGTATGGATTTGATTCCGTAGATTTTCTTTATGTCTTCATCCTTCTGGAATGAGAGCATGAACATACTGAGGGGCTCTTTGCTCTTCCAACTCAGTTTGTTTACAGCATCTTCTATTTTGAATCCTTGAGCTGTCAGATCTTCAATTATTCTATTTGGCAGGCAGGAAGAATGAAGGTTTTTTGCCATCACCCTGATCGGCCTATCTTGTTTATTCTCATACGAGTACCAACAGCAATTATTCTGTAACAATAGCTTGGTGATGGATCTGTATGAGTCATCATTTTTGGAGTTAATTTTAACTATTTCTCCATTCATCATTTTCGTAACGAAAGAGTCTTTCGTTACATTAGTTGAAAGAAGGTCGTAGAACTCTTGGTAGTTCTTGACATTCTCCACAACTATAGGTGGTGGTGTGGGCTGTTTCTTTATTTTAGCTTCTTTAGTTTTCTGGCTAGGATCGTCTCCTTGTTGAGTTGGTGAGGACAGTGATGACGAGTTCAATTTCCTTTTTTTTCTGCTCTTCTGTCGTACCCACTCTGTTTCCTTTGCTAGTTCTTCTTCGTCTGTCTCATACTCGATTGGCATTGGCTTCTCGGTAGTGACATTTTTCTTGTCTGAAGTTTTTTGCTCCTGGATGGTTTTAAGCTGATGCTGTAGTTGTTCTAATTGACTTTTGAGGTCATTTACTAAGCTTTGCAACTTTTCGCGTTCTAACTTTTCTTCGGTATAATATTTATACAACAGATGTTCCGTTTTAGTTTTGATTTTAATTGAGGATGACGAAGCCATGATTATTAGAATAACTTCGCCTTAACACTTTGTTTATACAAATAATTGTGCAACACTTTCGGTAACTGGGTCATCGCGGCGACCGCGCACGGCTAGAGGTAATGAACGAGAGTGTGTGCGACGCGACTGTTCTTAGCGGAAGTCGATCGATCACTCCTTGATGGCAATGATGGAAGGAAAAAGGTCTACCGACGTAAGGGAGAGCGTTTCGCACAATGCTACTTTGAAGAGAGGGTTGCTTATGGCGATGGCTGTCTGGAGCGGTATATCCGCGAGCGGCAAAACTCAACTTGAGGTTGCTACAGGACCACGGCTGCCAACATTAAATGCTGGAAGGTACATTCGTGAGTGATTAGAACCTCACGTGATACCACACGCGGACTATGTGGGCCCAAATTTCCTTTTTATGTATGATAATGCAAGAGCCCATGCGGCCGGTAACGTCAGGGAATCTCTTCGGTATGTGAACATCACAGTAATGGACTGGCCAGCCAGAAGCCCAGACATGAACCCCATTGAGCACATGTGGGACGAGCTAAAAAGACGTGTTAGGGCTCGTCAGCCAGTTGCCCAGACGATGCAGGAGTTGAAAACTGCCATAGAAGAGGAATGGGAGATGATCCCTTAAAATTTCTTAGAGCGGTTAATAAACTCTATGCCTAATCGTATGAGAGCTGTGGTAGATGCCCATGGAGGCAACACGCGTTATTAAATTAAACTTTTATTGGATAAAACATGTTTTTTATTAAAAAATCAATTGCCTTTAATAAGGCGCATATCCGATTTGTTAGGCGTAGCTCTATGTCGTATGGTATTCTGAATTCAAATTTAAACTGCATCAACAGTTTTTGTTGAATCTAGCAATCATATTTCGGTAGAGGCCATCTAAACCTAAACTCTAAGGTGCGCCAATAGATGTGTCCAGAAGTGTATTTGATGGAATTTGGTACAGCGATATAGTTTGAGAACTGGGAAAGGATATCTAAAAGTTTGATACTGCGTTAAAACCCCCGCACTCTCTATCTTTTAAATCACTATACATATTTATTTGATTGAAATTCGGTGCAATATTGATTTGCAAACAGAATAGTTTTTATCAGTGAAACCTCACGAGACGGGCACCATACGGGTAAAACCCCTGTGGGATTGTTTATTTTTTGAAACCATGAAAAAAACTAATTTCGCAATAAATATAACCTAAGTACTGAATGGATTCCGATGACATTATTTGTTGCAGTTGTACGGCCGTAGAATATACCTTGGCAAAGACTAATTCAAAAACCCAATTTCTATCAGAAGTCACTATTTTACGTAGACGAAGTCGCTGGTAACAACTAGTATTTTGATAATTGTAATGATCATCGGGACATTTATTTAGATATGAATAAAATCCAAAGTAAAGCTTTTTAGATAGTTACTTATACTTTAATACGTCGACTACTGACATCATATTCGGAAATTTTGTTTATGTGGTATAATTCAAACTCAAACTGGACGTACTTGTAATGCGTCATATTTGGTGTAAAAAGTGGCAATGTGTAATGAAAGCGACAGATCCTATTCACCGGACCACCGTGACATCATAATCGCAGTAAAGAGTTACATACACAATGCGACTGCCGGACGACAGTTGCGACATTAGTGTCGCCTGGCCGGCTCCAATGGGCCGTGTGTCGTGGACATGCGCATGAGTGGCGTGCTGAGATGCCGCAGAAATGATTTCAATGTATATTGTTATTGATATAACAGGCCGGACTGTCTGTCCTTCGGTAATTGAAATATTTCGACCTTTTTTACTTTGTGTTATATAGTATCCGAGAAACATTTAACTGCAAGTTCTCATGTCGGAATATCGGTAGATAGTGACTAGACTTTGTACTAATAATGGATGTCTATGTAGCTTGGTAGCTGCTCACCCTAAAGTATTTAACCTTCATGTTATTAAAATTAATAAAGGAATAAGTATTTTTGTCAAAGACGCTATTATCATAAATCGACAAAAGAATGAATATGTTATTAATTAATGATCGTTTAATATATTTGTTTGTTAGTGATTTTGTTTGTCACTTCACGTTTTGTTCTGTGCGCGAATGTGTTGAACTTTGTGTCAATTACCGCGAACTGGCATTAATCCCACATCTAGCGTAAACAACTATTGTGCACACACACTATGGTACACATTAAGTAATGCAAATCATTTGAAAATTAGCACATCTTTGCTAATTGTTTATCCAAAGTAAGTACTTAATTTTGTAACGAAAACTTTTGTTGTGCATATTATGGTATTTTTGTTAAAACAAGTGTATACTATAATTTTAAATTTCGGTAACAAAACATCGTACATTTAGAGGGATCTATGGTATTAAATAAACACACATTGACAAAATACACTATTAGAAATAAAAGTTGTATAATGTTGGCTTAGATCTATGCATAGATTGTGTACGAGATAATTTTAACGTTTTATCCAAAGTATAGTACCTTACGTATACGGTATACGTAACGTAACTATGTAACTATGGGTAGAGTAAATAAGCACAGTTCCACTGTCACAAAAAATGTAGGCGCCTGCGTACAAACGGCAATAAACCTCGTAAGATCGGACCAATCCCGCGCCTCGCGTCCCGCGCGCATTGTGCAAGCCGCCATGACACCTCCCGGTCCGCGCAATGAGTAGGTATACAGCGCTATACAGCTGCATAACTTGTGCAACCAATGCACGCCGCGATCACATATTTATATTATTTACCTAGCTGGCTACATTGCTATGTAACGGAGCATACCGACAAATACATTATTTGCGGGTGACCTGACCGGATGGTAAAAGGTCAAGTATAGGTACTATACATCGTAATTATCGAACCTTGAGATGCAAATAAAGTATATTTTTTTTATAGTGTATCGCAGATATATTCTCCTGTCACGTTGCACGGGGTGCTGCAGTAATTGAGTGAGGGTGCTCCCCTAACCAGCGCAATACATAACCCCTTGCGTGTGTCGGCGGTGGGGCGCGCGGAGTGTTGAGTATTGATCCATTGATTCATGCAACAATTTCAGTGAATAATTTATATTAATTATTTATACTTCTAGGTATTTCATTAGATTACCTAGGTGACATAAATGTATGATATTAAATGTTTCTAACGTCTCGTTGGAAACTTAATAATTATAACAATTCAAATGAATGTAGATACTACAGCGTTGATTTCTTTACATGTAAAAAAATACCATACTTAGTTGTAAAACACGAGTGGGAGCGGCCAGCGCGCGCGCAGTGTGTCAACACAAGCTTGGTACCGACCAATGAGCGAAGAGATGTATTGTGCAATGTAGGTACCTACGAATATATGTATGTATGTAACTACTGAAGTATTGGATATCTTTGAGTCCTACACTGTGTCTACACGTAGCTCTATTTTAGTAGTCTCTTTCGTATTTGTAAAAAAAATATATTTTTACAGTTGGATTTCAAATAAATGTATTTATCTTTACACCTGTTTTAAGATTTATCATTTTTTTATTTTTCACACGAGGTCATATACACAGTAACACACAGACCCGAAACAATTTGTGAATAACACAAAGAGTTGCCGTGATGGTCGATTGGCTGGAAGTCCGGTGGCCTGCTGAGCAAGGGGTTCGATTCCCGTGTCGAGTAAAATGTTATTGGATTTTGTCCTTAACTTCAAAGAACAAGGAGGTTGAAGTGTTTTTTTTTATTAAACGTATCTACAGTTATTCTAAAAAATGGTCAGTGGTATCACGGTGTCAGGAATTATGCTCGATATATGGCAATTTACTCATCCCATATTATACGGGACTCATAACATAAGTGGTGTAAATTGGGCATAGTTCATTGTAAGTACAGTGGCATTATGGGCCATGATATAATTATATTTCTGTCAACCCATTCGAGGATAAAGGGCGTGATGGTATAAAAAAACTACGTGCAGGAATCGAACCCGCCGCATGTTGCAGTCCATCAACATCTAACATTTTGAAGGTGAACTAGGAAGTTCTGAAACAGACCAAAACTATAAAGTTGTTGGTAAATATAAATAGATTTTAATTATTTATTTATTTATTTATTTAAGGGACAAAAAACAGTTACATATTAAGATTTTACATAAAAGTTTTACATTAAACAACAGCTACAATAAATATGTAACCCACACCATTGCCCACAATTTAATATAAAGTATAACGGCAATAATGACCGTGTTGCTGTAGCGCTATCGTAATTTAATTATATTAAAATTTACCTACTAAATATTGATACAAAAAAAACATTGTACATTGTACTTATGATTGTACACTTGATAATTATACACTTTCTTATCTTGTCTAACATTAATCCAGTCTGGATTTGTCTTCTCTGTTAGCTCGTCTACCTATTTTATACATTCAATGGATATTAGGCGTATGATTTATTTATTTATGATGACGCCAGCACACTTTAGTACCTACTTCTGAAGTAATGAAATGGGACTTCGAACCCACTACTACCTTTATAAATATCGTGGAAGGGACACGGTTCCAGTCAGTTGCTATCTTTTGTGTAGTACCTAATAGAGTTTAAGAGTAACAGGAAGTATCAAATTGTTCAATTTCCTATGAATTTTTTGTTCACCTTGCTCCAAACTTTAATATATGGAACAAACAGCTAAGTTTACTGACAGGGTGACTGATGTAGGACATTTTGAAGTTGCCTGAATACCGTCCACCGACAATGACACGATTGGTTCGATACAAATTAAAGTTTGGACTTTACATTGTTTGACGAAGATTCAAATAAAAGTTTGTGTTTGTGTGAACTTCAATTTAAAAAATATACTACTTGTGTACACGAGGAGATATAGTTACACGTTATAACTTATTATACTTATACCTAAGTGTGCGAACAATAAATAGGAATACACAAAATAATGGTTTATACGTAAAATGCATTTATTACCAGTCTCAAAACTAACCATTCTAATCACAAATTATTTTACAAAAACTATAACATTCTACAAAACAATCGCATTCACCCGTCATTCATCACAATAACCTATGTATTTAGTATCACTCACTTTGATTGCGACTTAGATACCACTATTTACACGTATAAGACATATCTATGTATCGTCATTTTTCCAACAACCACAGGCATCCAAATGCACATTAACTTAGTTCCATAAATTGCACGCACTTGTCAAGTCACTCTGTCAGCAGTCAGCAGTCAGCAGTCGCACGGCTGCCGGCAGTGGCGGCACAGCCCGGTCGCCAAACTAGCCTTCAGCTCAGCCACTTTCTTCTTCAAGAAGGAGGTCTGCAGCGCGAGCTTAAGCTCTCTCAGCTTCCGTCGGTCGCGGCTCGCCTTCGCCGCGATATTATTCCTCTCCCTTTGTCTTCTATAAGTATCATCAGCCGAGTGGCTACCCTGTACAGCCCTTCTCATTTTGGGGTTGTTCCCCAATAATGAGCCGCCATTTTTGGCGGCCATCGCTCTCATGGCATCCTCCTCAAAAATTTGATACTCTATATCATCTGATAAAGATTCTGTATCGCAATCAATATTCGCTGACTTATCAGTGGAGTGACCACTGTCATTAGATAGCGGGCGGGGAAGCGACACGTATTGTATTTGGTCATTGACTGGATAACTGTAGAAGTTAACCTCCGGGTTAACCATCTGTCGATGAGCCCCTTGGTACATCGCCGGTATAGATATCGGTTGTGTAGGAGCACTCAGTGCCTGCAACGCAGTAATTTCCTTCACCTTCACTGCAGGCCTCGATAGATCAAGGGCCTGTTCTTGTGTTTCACAGTACGGCTTCCACACAGAATTCATTTTTACTCGGAGGAGTTATCTGGTAGTTGATTGCTTGACGTAGAAATCACGAATGATCACTGTCGCTCGGTTCTGGCGGACGACCGAGCGGCGTTTCAAAGGGGCGGGGCCTAACTGACCACGCTCAATGGAAGGGGTGTAGGCAGGTAGCTGCGCTAACGGACTGAGCTCGAAATGATTTATATTGTAAAGGGGTAACTGAGTATTGTGAATGAAAACTTATTGCAGTAATAAATGTAAGAAAACGGTTAAATTTTATTTTGTTCAAACCATTCTATAAATGATTGTTCCAGGTCAACTAGCTGCTCTTATAGCAATTTTGTTTAATTTTAGCTGTCATTTTCTAAGTTATGTCAAATATTTACATCATTTGAAATTGTACAAGTTTTACTTAGAAACTTGACTAAGTACCTCTAGATGCCTAATTTTAGTATAAATATCCTATGATAGTAAATAATATAATACCTGCAGACCTGCATAGATTCACCTGTGTATATATATTACACATTATACCCACAAACAGATAGGTTTTACTTTTTGTTTGTAGATACCAACTAGGTAAGCTTATGTATACATGGTATTTTTTAAAAGATAAATTATGTATGTACCGAAATATCTGTTAGCGTAAATTTTGAAATCAATGCTGCAAGTTCCTTTTTAACTGTTAGGTTCAATAATACTGTGACGCCGATAATATTTATAAGTGTTTATATTTTCCAACTACAGCCAAAGTTGAGGGACAACCATTGTGGCAGGCAGCTAGCTATCAATATTCTCACGTGAAACTGTGTAACGTGTGCAACAACATGGCGCGTGTCGCGGTCGCCCGGCGACAATGTGAGTGTTTGTCTGTCAAAAGATTCTTGTTGTTTTTACGCAGGCGACCGTCCCACTGGCCGACTCTCAAACAAATTAGAATAACTCGTCAATATTAGCTCATCGTGGCGGCATCGTCACTCAGGTTTTCTTCAATTTGGCAAACTTTACATCAGTATACTATTGTGTTAGTAGATACATCTTACTGACTAGCAATGTTTGTTGCACCAAATTAATATTACTACAGAATACTTCATTGTAAGTAAGTTAAGCCCGCCAGCTCGGTCCCTAGCACGGTGTAAATAGGTAAGTAACGGTATATTCATTGTTCTAAAGAAAGTTTTATTTCGCAAACTTGCAAACCATCGCATTGTTTCTGAGTGCCAGACAGAAAGGGTTGTTCTTTGAAACTGTAACACAATGCGGATTATACAATTTGCATGTTATCTCCGTCGTGGGGCTCCTTCCAAGAACCCTGACTTGCACTAATTACGAAATAAGTACCGTTTGCCATCTTTATACAAGTGTACATTGCAGGGTCGGTGAAACAATCAATTTTTAAATAAAAAAACTTGAAATATTATACATTGTCAAGATCTTTAGACTAGTGACAAGTGACAATAGCCACTCCCTTTATGTGGGCACCGAAGTGGAATATTCTCTTAACTATTGCGTCTCATGTTTAGCTAGCCTATAGCAAGACTCGGTTAACCCGCAAACAAGTTGCTACCTTATCTCAGTATAAACAACGTTCAATTTGTAAGTGTAGTCTCGTGCAGTGTTGGCGGTCTGCTACTTCAAAGCTCTGTCTCTGTAGTTGTACAATCCCAGAGACCACCGGCAGTATCGGCACTCTGTCCCCGGCGACACAATGTACAAAGAAAGTAGTTTTAAACTAATCCTATGATGCAAGATGATCCGACTCTCACTGCACCAAAACCTTTTCAAATTCTTTAACCGAAAGATTTAAATAGCCATACTTTAACGTTACAATATAGTGGTTTACTTGCACTGCCTTTGTCTCGGCTGTCAAAATTACTTATCTATAGATGAGCTCTGCTTTATTTGACAAGACATGAAATTAGTACCTACGTAGGTTTTTGTAGATTATTAGGTGTTAAATAAAAGTACGTATCGATTAAGTACCTAACAATCACATGTTTACAATTTGATCGGCCGTCGCACGTTTGGCCTCTATACCGCCTGGTTCTACTCACTATGACGTTTACTTCGACGACGAAATATCCCATAAGTACGACATTTCAGGTTTCTACCCTCGATTTGTGTTGTGTTAATCTCTTCATTAGTTCTATACAAAGTTGCCCAATCTCCTCTTTGCTTGTGACGCTGGTAATGGTCATACATTCACGTTCTATGAAACACGTCGACGGCAGGCTATAGATAAAGGAATTCTTTGTGTCATTGTACAAAATACCTGCGTTAAATAAGATATCGTGCGTTGATATATGAACACATTGCGCGCGTATATAGGAACTCACGCTAACTGGCAAGTATAGCGGACTATCAACATCTGCATCACAGTGCAGCTGCGAGTGAGCTCATGCAAAACTCGACCCAATTACTCAGCACACAACTAGTATATTTGCATGATCCGTCGGAGTACAATAATATTTGCAAGGGTTTTGTCGCGCGCCTGTCATTTGGATGAGAACCCTTCCGCGTGGACACGGATTAAGTCCCCTGGGATCGGTACGGTTCGCAGAAACAAAGATATTGTGTTACGTTTCGGGCAAGATAACTGTACTTTTGTTTCTGAGTGTTTGAGTTAGTGATTACTTATTGATATTGTTGGCTGAGCAAGACTCGCAACACTGTAACACCATAACTATACTCCGTGTGGTAATATTGAACGAGATGGAACCTACACACGCTACTACTTATTCTGCCAACCATACACGTCACATGAGTAGTGCGAAGGGTGCAATGAGTCAGCAGCTCCCGCGCTGACCGCACCACAGCTGGTCTATTCACACTTGCGTGGCTGAATCGTTAATCTTTTTGAATTAACGAATAATTAAAAATCAGCAACGCATTTGTAACTTCTCTGGTGTTACGCGTGTCCTTGGGCGGCGTCGTGCGTTGGTTGGTTACCATCACGTGATTCGTCTGCACGTTTGTAAGTAGGCCCTACAGGACAGCAAATTATCTAGATGAAATATCACAATGACATTTTTAGATAATATTTGTCAAGCTCTGGAATAAGACGTAAGTTTTTGCAGAGCCTACGTTTGTGTCGCGCACAATGCGAGAATGTCTTTCTCTGTCCAGAATGTTGCACATTTTGCTGATGGTTATCACCGCAGCAGTTATTAATGTTATTCTTACACAAATGTGATTTACAGCGTTTCCCAGAACGTGAAGCTGGTTGCCAACTCTTGCCCATTGTTTGCTGTCCCCGGTTTTTGCGTGGTCTCCACGATTGTAACGAGAGTCATGCTGTCAAAAAGAAATCGTTTAAGTCTGTGTCCGTCATCTGTGGACAATGCCCACTATTAGCGGATTATAATCCGCAAAAAGAGCAGGTACTGTTGTGTGGGGGCTGTGGTACAAGCGATGCGCTGTTGTGACTGCGGCTCACAGGTCAGGAGATTGAGTGCAAGTCTTGGCCATTTCAACACAATATGTTTGTTATAATGCTTATTGTGTTATAAAGTAAACATAGGGTTTTATTCGTTAAAATAGTAAAGAAATGTTTATGATTCGGTGTATCATCTAAGTAAAGTGGATCCTCACAAGTCGCTGTCGCCTGTGTCTTGTGTCGCAATATTTGCTTGCATTAGCAGATGCAAGGTTGTCAATGCTCGTCATCGTCCCACGGGATCTGTCGATTATCCCAAACAATAACAGTCCGATGCTGACCAATACGTGGCCAGTGTTCAGGGAGTCACTTGCTTGTTGCGTTTGTTATCCTAAGCTCTGCACAAATACTGCCAATTTCTCACCCATTGGTTTTCCAGAAAGAATACTAACAATTAATGGTAAAATGTATTTACAGAGTGCACGTGACTCTTTTCTTACAGTGACTTAAATTAAAAAATGTATGATAGATGAAACCAAACGATTCGATTAGAGCATAAAGCCATTATTGGTTACGAATTGTATTTGTTTTGCAATAATATACTGCTAATATATTAGAGAACCAAAATCATTTTACATATATCAAGGAATATTCTTAGAGCCTTTATAAACATTTCAATAGTTGTATAAGTATTGCTTCGTTGCACATATTGACAACTCTGTTATACAAAGATGTACCGTTGGCTCGTCCTGTATCCACTCCGAGTTCCCACATGTGGCCACAAACTCTTCCTGTACAAAGGCTTACAAACTAGCCAGCTACATTGACATGTCAATCACATCCCCCCGCACCGCGCGAATCATACTGATGTGAATCGAATCGCAAGCCTCCACAATGCCCACAATTGACACAATGTGTTACGGGAACACCTCGAAACCTCCTTCAATACCCAAATAACTGTTTTATTTGAGCCTTTGCCGCAGATATCTTTGGTTTGTAGAGGATTTTGCACTTTCATACTGTATACGTAGGACTTAAAATCAAAAAACAGTGACCTGTTACTTGCCATAGTTTTGCAACAAACATTCATTGAAAATATAATCCCGTAGAACAATATGCCCCTATAGCACCTGCCTTTTACTGTAGGTATACCCTTTCGGTCCGTAACGGTATGCAAAGATAAGATGGGTCGATATTTTTTGCATTGTTTCTGTTGTATCACAATGTAATTGTGTGAATGTTGTTTTTAAATGGCACGTGCTTTTAGGTTCGATAGTTTGTGTAATTATGACCTTTACATTTGCAGTAGTAGGGAGACGCTACTGTATACTTGTATTTTATAAGAAGTTGTATCTATTTATGACAGAATGTGTATAAATTATAATAGCACTCTTTACCTATGAAATTGTCGTATTATATGAAAAAATTTTAAAGATTTTTTATATATTTTTTATTCGTATTAATCGAAGTAATCACTTATCCGATCGATACATCTTTGCCAACTCAGTGGCTGTTTATTGATGCCCTTCTTAAAGAAATAATCAAACAAACAAACTGTTCAGCTTTATATATTATACTAGCTACTTCCGCGCGGTTTCACTCGCTCTGCTCGGCGCCTATTAATCCTAGCGTAATATTTTATAGCCTTCCTCGATAAATGGGCTATCCAACACTAAAAGAATTTTTCAAATCGGACCTGTAGTTTCGGAGATTAGCGCGTTCAAACAAACAAACAAAGAAACTCTTCCGCTTTCTATAAGAATATAAGATTAGTATAGATTACATAATATTTTAATCGAATTAGATTACAGAATAACATTACATAATGACATATGTACTCACAAGAACACCGAGGAAGGCTATTTTCATCCAGATATTTTTTTAATTAACTAGAAAAGTAGGTACTAAAGCTAAGCTCAATATTAAATGAATTACATGCAATAGTAGTTTTATTATTTTTGGGCATTTTATTATTATAGTTAATGGAGGTGAGGAAAATACAACATTACTTAACAAAATGTGTATATTTAGTCTTTTTGTAAACATTATGGTTCCTGTAATGACTGTAACAGTAAAACTTAAGATATTATTAATTAATCAGTACTAACATGTATACATGAGATCATGAAATATAAAAATAAGTAAAAAATAATGTAGGTAGTCTTGTTTACTAAAATTTACAATCAAGAATGGGGTTTATACTAACAATTAGATCAAATTCTAGAAATTATATTTATTTACTATTTAATAAATTGCACGTCAATAGCTTAAAGTCTTACGACAATTTTACTTAAATTTATTTGTTTATTTATTTATTAAAACTTTATTGCACATACAGTCAAATTGGCGGACTTAATGCCGTAGGCATTTTCTGACAGTCGACCATTGGGTGGTGCAGAATGTTAAAGCGGTAGGTGCAAAATTGTAAAAAGAAAGTATGAAGTAGATAACGAAGTTAAGGTAATAAAATATTAAAGAGGGAAGACATGATTGTTATAGTCGATAATACATAACTAAGGGTATTAAAATTAATTATATAATACATATATATCCCAAATATGCATACATATAATATGATATATTTACTATATAATACATACATATATAAATAAATGCAATACATAGACTACATATTACCACTGTTTTGAGTTTGCCACTTTCTATAAATGTGTTCCCGAACCTTGAATTTAAATGAACAGCGATTATTTGCCATTCTGATTTCCTTGGGCAGCGCGTTCCACAGAGAGACAGATTGAACGAAAAAGGAGGAGTGAAGATAGTCAGTGCGGTGAGTGGGACATTGAAGTTGACGGTTATTAGATGAGCGAAGGTATTTAGAATGGTTTGCGCATGTATATTGGAAGTAGGAAGCTAGATAAACAGGTGAAGAAGGAGAGTCGAGAAAAGAAAATAAAGTAGTTAACGCCCTTTGTTGCCTGCGCAGGCGTATGGGCAGCCATTTTAATTGCATGCATGCATGCATGCATTAAATCTGCTTGTAGCTAGTCATGCTACGCAATATTTGCACATTGTGTATCACAGCTGTGTGTATGTGTGTGTGTGTGTATGTGTGTATGTGTGTGTGTATGTGTATGTGTGTGCTGGTGGTCCGCACTAGCACAGACTGGAGCGGCGCGGCTCTTCTTCGCCGCCGCGTTGTTCTTCTCGCGCGTGCGTCGGTAGGCGTCGTCTTCCACCGCGGTGCCGGCGTGCGCTTGCGATCGTATAGCGCGACGCATGTTTGGGTTGCTTCCGACTAAAGTGCCACCTTGGTGATCTTTTATGGCAGCCATGACAGCCTCAACGTAACGCTGATAATCTGGATCCAGCTCTGCCGATATCTCCGGTGCAGGACTGGTTGCGGGTGTGGCCAGGCGGGGGTGACGATGACGGCGTACTTAAAGAATGGTAGCCTGAACTACCACCTGAGGAAACTTGAACATCTCCATGGCGTAGAGGCAGCGGCATGAACCCTGGCCCTGTCGGGTATACCGGGTACGTCGACAGCGTCGGGTGTGCCGCCGACACAGGTACAGCTAGAGATTGTGGAACGCGTGACACACTCAAATCCGACGACAGAGGTCCCACTACCTCTGTCGCCTGAGTCGTCTTATCGTCCTCGACAGTGTTGACTTCATCTAAACTGAATGGTCTCCAGATAGACATGATTGCACGGGCAAAGCTGACTAAGGAATGCCGTTCCCGAGGTGGCCGCTGGCCGCTCTTGTACCTCTATACTCGAAGGGCGGGGTCGCGGGGAGAATAAACGTCAACTTATAGCGCCGCCCATTGGCTGTCCCGACGTCGTGATTGTTCGTGCACCAACGTGTGACTTTTTTTTAAAGGGACAAGCCCGCCACAACCTCCCAAAACCGCTGCAACTCCTGTAAGCCAGGATCTACAGTAGATACAACCATAAAAACACCGGAACACTGAAGTCCGGCGCGTCCCAGGGACATGAGTAACTGTCTTGGTTCCCGCAACGAAATGCATCAGAAGATATTATAAGAGGAGAAGAAAAAACTATAGTTTCCACTTCCCTCGGTGAATTACTGCAGGAGACAGAATGAATTAAGCCTAAAGGCACAAAGAAGAGACTGTACAACTGGGTGAAGCCCAGTCGTATGACTTATTTGCAAATTTATTAGTTAATGACTTTGTTTGTTACTTCACGTTTTGTTCTCTGCGCGAATGTGTTAAACTTTGTGCCAATCACCTAATAATCCCGAATCTAGCGTTAAAAACTATTGTACCTACAGGTAATTATCTATTTAATCATATAAAATAATTATATTAGATGTAAGCGTGCAAAGTAAGTACAGCGTTAAGTAATGACATTAATAGGTAATTTCATAAAGATTGACAATATTTCCAAAATGATTTATCTATTCTGATTGGTTTGGGTAAGACAGATTGTCAGTGACAATCTCGATACTGTAACTCATCAAAATCGAATAGGTTACCATGTAGTCAAGTCAACATGTGTTATTTATACAAGGTACATAGAGTGCATTATTGTGTGTCGCCAGAAACCACCACGTGACGGAGAATCGCAGCTTTAATTAGCTGCCCACACACTGACAGCTTCCACAAAGCTCGTGCCGCCGACACAGAGATGCGGGCGCACTGTTTTACAATATTACACGCAGCCTGTCATTTGTGTGACGTCACAACGTCTTTGTTTACTGCACTACATACTGATAAGCAATGAAGCACACAATACCTCACTGACCACCGGCCGGCAGCTTCAATTAGCACGTCTTTTGTTTAGTTAATGTTGTCTTCAACAATAATATTCTAATGTATTGTATTGTTAACACAAAGCTATAAAATCCTAGTACTTTAGAAACAGTTACGTCTTACAAATAAGTTATGGTTACCTGTTACTATAGGAAATAATAACACGCGATGTTATTACTGGTCTTTTATATAAGTTCCTCTCAGGAAGTTATTTTATGAGATTAGCCGGTAAATGAGCAGTTATGTGTATGTTTGTAAACGCACCCACGACACAGGAGAAAATCTTAGAGAGGGGCAACGTTATTTTATAAAAAATAAAAATAGTAAATTTGGCCTTTGGCCACATGAATTGGTCACACGTCTACGCGATTTAGGGGAAGAACGCTGCTACGCGCGCTACGACAGCACGTAGCCCACGTGCTACGAAATGCGCTACGAGCTACGGCTGTAGTATTTCGCCGCAAGTTAGCGTAAAGTTAGGGCTATAAACCTATGCATGTAGGGTTAGATACTATTTACTGTACTCAGTCCACGGCTATTCAAAAAACCGATGTGAGACAACGCTTGCGTTGTGTTTCGTCGTGTGAGTGAGGCTACCAAAGGCCCAATTACCCCACCTCCTCCAAAAATCCTCAAATTGCTAATCCCCAAAAGGCCGGTACTACACTTGTAACGATCTGGTGTTCCAGGTGTCCATGGGCGACGCCGATTGCTTACCATCAGGTGATCCGTCTGCTCGTTTACCGGCTTATGCCATAAAAAAAAATACGTGTCTAATGATTTAAAATAATCTACCAAACGGACATTAAAATAAAAATTAGGCATCTAGATTGTAATGATCATCGGGGCATTTATTTAGATATTAATAAAATCTAAAGTAAAGCTTTTTAGATAACTAATCAGTTTCATAAGTCTACTATAGACATCTTATTCCGAAATTTTGTTTATCTGGTATAATTCAAACCCAAACCGGATGTACAGTTACTCTAGCTTCATACTCACAAACATTTTGCAATACTTCATATTTGGTGTAAAAGTTGCATTGTGTAATGAAAGCGACAGATCCTATTCACCGGACCACCGTGACATCATAATCGCAGTAAAGAGTTACATACACAATGCGACTGCCGGACGACAGTTGCGACATTAGTGTCGCCTGGCCGGCTCCAATGGGCCGTGTGTCGTGGACATGCGCATGAGTGGCGTGCTGAGATGCCGCGGAAATGATTTCAATGTATATTGTTATTGATATAACAGGCCGGACTGTCCGTCCCTCGGTAATTGAAATATTTCGACCTTTTTTACTTTGTATTATATAGTATCCGAGAAACATCTTCACTGCAAGTTCTCATGACTTAGATATAAGTAAGTTTAACTATAGATATTTTAATATACATATATAATATTAGATACAATGGGTATTATGTGAATTGGTAGCTGCTAAAATCTAGTTACTATTGTTCGATATTATGTTATTAGTTAAACTGTTGTAGTAAACAAGTTATTGTCATAAATCTGCACAGTTATCAATCTATCATAAATAAAATTAAATAAAGACGTTAAATCTAATAATAATTTGTTAATGATTTTGTTTGTCACTTTACGTTTTGTTCTGTGCGCAAATGTGTTGAACTTTGTGTCAATTACCGCGAACTGGCAATAATCCCATATCTAGCGTAAACAACTATTTGTGCACACACACTATGGTACACATTAAGTAATGCAAATCATTTGAAAATTAGCACATCTTTGCTAATTGTTTATCCGGAACAAATACTTAATTTATGCTATGCATCGTATTACCTACCGAACCTTAAGATCCAAATAAAGTATATTTCTTTATATTGTACCGCAGATATATTGTACTGTCACGTTGCACGGGGTGCTGCAGTAATTGAGTGAGGGTGCTCCCCTAACCAGCGCAATACATAACCCCTTGCGTGTGTCGGCGGTGGGGCGCGCGGAGTGTTGAGTATTGATCCATTGATTCATGCAACAATTTCAGTCGTTCATTTATAGGTAACGGTAACGTGTTTTACGGCTAAAGGTGAGCATGAACATAAACTTAAGATAAGCCGGCTAAAATCTTCCCACAATAATTTCTTCTGTGTCGTGGGTGCGTTCAAAAATACCCAGACTCGAAACAACAGTTTCTGGATCACACAAAGAATTCCATGCGGGAATCCAACCAGCTACACGTAGTGCGGCAGCCGGTTGTCCAGCCACTGCGCGATCCGTGTAATCAAACAAATCCATTTCGTTATGTCATTAGATTCCCTAGATAGGTGACATAAATGTACGACTTTAAACTATATCGTTGGACACTTCTATGTGAATTAACATTAATTTAATATCAAACTTTTCATAAATAGATAAATAAAAAAGAAATAAACTTTTCTGCGTACTATTATCATTCATATATTCAGTGTAGGTACTTACTACAATAGCGTAGGTTCCATTGCATGTAAAATATCTATAAAATGTACCAACTTATGGCGTAAGTACCCTCGTTGTAAAACACGAGTGGGCGCGGCAAGCGCACGCGCAATGTGTCAACACAAGCTTAGAACCAACCAATGGCGAATGTATTGTGCAATGTAGGTAAAGTACCCACGTATGTATGTGTGTAATTATGATACAAAGTAATTTAGTGTAATGTGTATACTTACCTAAATGAAGGTAGGTAAGTAAAGACGATTTGGGCCAAAGAAACAATTATTTGATAGAATAAATGTTTTTATTTTTAAAATTCTATAACTATTTTCTACAATCTAACTTCATTATTATCACAAACATGATTGTCTTCCACAAAACAATTTTGTTTACTAGAAACAACTAGATTCACTCAAGTACCTCCTATACTTTTGGTTTCGACTTGTACTCTTTTATATAATTACCACTATTTACACATTAATGTCTAAAATGTATATAAACTTAGTCTAATTAATTGCACACACTTGTGAAGCCACTCCATACTGACAGCAGTTAGCAGTCGCACCTCTGCCGGCAGTGGCGGCACAGTCCGGTTGCTAAACTTGCCTTCAGCTCCGCCACTTTCTTCTTCAAGAAGGAGGCCTGCAGCGCGAGCTTCAGCTCTCGCATCTTCCGTCGGTCGCGGCTCGCCTTCGCCGCCATATTATTTTTTACTCTTTGTTCCTTATAACGATCATCAGCCGAGTGGCTACTCTGTACAGCCCTTCTCATTCGAGGGTTGGTACACATCAGTGAGCCGCCATTTTTGGCGGCCATCGCTCTCATGGCATCCTGCTCAAAAATTTGATATTCTTTATCGTCTGATAAAGATTCGGTATCATCATCTCCAGTTGAGGACATGTCGTTAGAACGACCTGTCACCTGGGAAACCGTTGACGCTGCGTAAGATGCTGGTAAATAGATAGGCTTGTAACTTAAGCAGTCAGTCCCTGGATAGACTGCTGCTTCTGGATATCCGATGATGGGGTACATCATATGTCCAAGTACCGCAGGTGGACTCTGTGCCGGTAATGGAGACCCTCTGTCCACCTTCACTGCATGCCGCGATAGGTCAATGGCC